TCCATGAAATATTTAGAATAAGCAGCAAAATAGTGATTCGTGATGTCGAGAATGAGAATTCATGATTAAATTGTTTGAGCGATCTCTTTGAATACTCGATTAATGACAAATTTTCCCAAGCCAGGGATAAAAAAAAGATGGTCTTTTGTAAAATCGAAATGACAAACTTATTTAAATTTTTTAACTAATAAAAATAATTTGTATTACGTAATAATTTTTATTAAATTGCGATATTATTTAAATGTCCATTATAATGGTAAACACAATTGACTCGTTTAAAATATTTCTGCTAAGTAAAATTTGTCCCCCGATACTTTTTGGCCAATCGATTAAGGTGCTTGAGAACGCCCTTAGTCGGTATATAATCACTTCTGAATGGTATTTTTTATTTGGACTTATATTCGTGTGTTAGAAATTTGATCGTGTGATAGAATTTAATTTGATAAAATATCATTAGTTAAAGCTTTTATAAATTGAACCCATTTGGATCTATCCAATTCCACTAGCTCAACATTCCAATTAGATCTCCAATTGACAACACTGATTGTGAAAGTGTACTGTACATCTTACTAAATAAGTAATTTGCCTGCCTGTCATACAATTTACAAGGTTTCAACATAATGTCCTGTACAACTGTACATCGTTTCACTTCCTGGAAGGTAGTATGAAATATATAATTAGATACATATAAAATTCCTACGTTAATTAACTTTAAACGTTTGCATGTAAGAACGTATTTACAAAATACTTTTAAAACTATTGTGCAAGTTTACTTTTCTACTGAGCAATAACATATATTTTAAATTTAGCGTGGATATACAATTAAGCTTCATTTAGGAAAACAATATCATAAACACCGGATTGATTTAAAGCTGCTGCCGAACATAGCATGTCAGACATTGAATCATTCGAATTTGGATCTTTTGAAAATATGAAATTGATTGGTGAAGGCGGATGTAGCACTGTATATAGGGCTTATTGTAAAAACATTAATCAAACCGTTGCTTTAAAGAGATTGTATCATAACAATATAAATGAAGTAAAATCAATTTTGTGTTGTTTCTTAGTTATTCTTTAAATATTATATTTTAAATATAATTTAACATTTATTAACTTACAAAGATTAAAATTATTGCCAAAATTGATCATGATATTAATATAATACAGTTCTTTGGAATTACTAAAGGTATGTGAATTTATGTTCTATGGTAATTGTGTTATTTATATCTAATATATGAAATTCAAATCTTAGATCCGACTGATACATACTATATGGTTCTTCAATATGCAAATAATGGTGATCTTCGAAGTTATTTACGATATCATTTTTCAGAATTAGATTGGCCAACCAAAATTAAAATGGCAAAGGAAATTTCAAATGGGGTTAACTATTTGCATAATGCAAATATTGTTCATCGTGATCTTGTAAGTAGCTTTTGCCTTTTTTTTTTTTTTTATCTATCAATAGACAGGTTTAGTAGAGATTGGAATCGTTCAACCGTTGGTCAGTTAATCGATCATATCCATTTAATCGGTTATAAAATTATATATTGTTAAAAGGAAACATAAATTCCTTCGATAGAAACCAATATTTAATTAGTTTAATTAGTTGATTATCATGTGTTTAATCAACCTCTTGACCGGTCAAAAATCAATAAGACAAATTTGACTAGCTATTATTTTTTTGACCTGTATCAATCCTTCAATAGAAATCTTAAGTTTTAATCGGCTCAAATCTGAGATTAATAATATCTAATTAACGACAATAGATTAATGCAGATAATTAATCCGAAATTATTAAAATTTCAAATTTCCACGAGTGTCTATCAATTTGTCTTTTATTTTATATTTATCTAATATGTTAAAAATTAATTATAATTACTTAATTATATTAGCATGATAAGAATATAGTGGTGAATAATCGCAGTTTGATGATCACAGATTTTGGGTTATCAAAATCATTAGAAACTAGCTCAAAATCAATTACTGGTGGAACGTGCGCTTTTTCCGACCCACAATATCTTAACGATCTATTCAAATTTAAACGAGAAAAGCCGTCTGATATCTACAGCCTCGCTGTTCTTTTTTGGGAATTATCAAGCGGCGTTCCTCCATTTATGAATGTATCGGATCAAGCAAAAATAACATTAGATGTTATTTCTGGCGAGAGAGAAACTCCAATTAATGGGACCCCAATTGATTTTATGAATCTATACTGTGCTGCTTGGAATGGCGATCCAAAGCTTCGTCCTAACATAACTGAAGTTTGCCATACATTAAATTTTATTCAGATAACTCCTTTTTATCATAGTGATCAGCATAGCGGGCTTTATTATGATTGGCTGATTTTGAAGATCATCTTATCATAAGAAAGTCTTATTAAAGTAACGAT